TTCTTCGTCAATCTGAATTTGTTGATCTTATTAACTTTCGTGATTTCAATATGAATCAGAAAGGGCTCTTCACATAACTTCCAAATCTGCTTTCAGATTGAAAATTCGTTCACAATGAAGGAAGGTATGTATGCAGTTAGTTTAATAGTAAATATGTGTCCAAATTTAGATACGTAATAAGCTGCTCCACGGTCAGCGCCAAAGTCGGGTCTTGTGACATCTAATCCTTTTGCTCCTCTGCGTCTCCCTCACAAGGCCAGACACCAGACACTTAGGCCCAAACTTTTGCCACAGGTTAAGTGGCTCACACACCCCCCACCCCCCTGAATTGGCCCCATTCCCCCTGGCTCACGCATTCTTACTTACTACCAGGGTTCCCACCAAAAGGATTAGATGTCATACAACCATCGTATAGCACCCGGCTGGGCTAAGGCGTTCATAAGGCTTCCGCTAAAAGCGGCACGCCCCCCCCCCCCGCCCCCTATAGATGAGAAGTATAACTGTGAGTATTTAGGATTGGTATGCCTTTCGATGAATTTTTTGCTCAATTCGTTGATATAAAGTACAAGTATAAGTTTATTACGTCTGCAAAAGGCACACGTGGAAAAGAAAATGAGCACCTCTATACAAAGAATAGTGTGCTTATAAACAAAAAACTCAAATACTAAAACTCAGTATTAACTTCGTTTTAATGCTTTTTTTCCAATAATTCAAAGAAAAATCATTGACAATGGTAGGATCCATTGTCAATGATTTTTTATTAAATTTTTGACGCCAGATGGGGCCCATGTGGCAGCGCTTTGCGGCGATCCTCTGCGTTTTCTGTGTAAGCATTTCCTCTTCGCTAAATCGGGACTAAGCCTCGGGCAGGGGAGGAGGAACTCCAGGATCATAGCAATTTTCATCTTCCCAAAGTTCCTGCCCACTCCTAGGCTTAGTACTACAGGGCGCGGACGAGCAGAGATCGCGCGCGGCGACTGGCCCACCTCGAAGCCCACATTGCGCCCAGAATCATTTGTTGAACGACTTTCTGGTGATGGGAGTGGTGGGTAGCGCGGGTTCTTTTTTCGATGAAAAAGTTTGCGGTAAGCGGAAAAACTCTTAAACGCGACTTCGCGGAAGCTCAAGGACTTCGGCCGTGCGGAGGAGACAAGGAAGGGCGGGGGGAAGGGTCGTATTTCCAAATTTTCCTCGACCCTTGACTGACAATGAGACGTTCCACCTCACGCACTATACAGCCCTTATCTGACGCCGTCCAAACTATCATCGACTCAGGTCAATGCAGCACTTCTCAGCAGCAAACCAATTCGATAACCGCGACGACGTCAAAATTTGAGTGCCCAACTTCTTCGAGTCGAACCTAAAGAGTTCTTCGAGGTAGGCATCCATGCTTTGCGTAACAGAAGGAGAAAAGCCAATGATACAGAAGGAGAAGATGTTCAGGTTGAAGTGCTTTGATGTTGATGTTTTTGAAATGGAAACAACTGATAATCGAAAGCGATTTCAAATTATTTTCAAATCAATTATTATCATTCAAATATCTTTGAGCCTAAGCGCAGTTCCTCGGAGGATGAGAACGATTTAGCATTTGCTTTCCGAAAGAAAGAAATATGTAGATTGAAGCAAAGCATATTTAATTTGCCGATAACGATACATTTCTACAAAAAGCTTAATTAGGAGCAAGGCACACGGTTTGCCGGAAGAGCACACAGGAAGTTGGACTTCGCGTACGGTGCAGCCGTATTCCATTGCCCTGTCAGAATGTCCATCCACGTCACACCAGCGATAACGGTAACCGGTTCTAAATAATTTCAGATAATTGAATGAATTGAATTTCAAATAGCTACTGATACGAAGACATTTCTTCTTTTCCCTTCTCTGAAGACATTACTTAGAGAACACTTACCGCCAGGTGCCCAGTTTGCGTATGTGGATGGATTACCGTCACTCCACGTAAAGCCATTCATCATCAGATTCGAATAGCCCAGTATTACCTTTCCTCCTGTTCCGGGTCCTTTGAGAATCTCTTGAAAAAAGCAGATAATCTCGTTCTCATAGTTGAGAGACAACATAAACCAAACATATTGCTTGTTATCCAGGTTGCTGATGGATTTATAAATATTAGTAAGGTGTCGGATGATTTCATTAGGCCGCGTTCATAGTTCGCGATTCAAGAGATTAATATAGTCGGAGACTTGGATTCATGGAACAGAGAGGAGGTAGATTGCGCTGACAAGATTGAATGCGTATCGATTGAAATCGCTGGAGAGTAGTAGATTGGGCGACTTCAAGCGAATAGATCAATACATATCTAATCTTGTCAGCGCACTATCCTAATCTACTACTATCCTAATCTCCTACTCTACTACTATCCTACTATCGTAATATCGCAATCTACTACTCTCCAGCGATTTCAATCGATACGTATCTAATCTTGTCAGCGCAATCTCCTACTCTACTACTATCCTAATCTACTACTATCCTAATCTCTCGCCGTCAATACATATGTTTTTCATTGTCGCGTACTATCCTAATCTCCGGAGTCGCGAACTATGAACGCGGCCTTAAAAAAGTATGCATTCAGATTATCGCGAAATCACGGGATAACAAACAGTATTAAACCAAGCTTCTCTAGGCGACCATATTTCAATGTACATCAGTGTACCGAGAACATAAAATCTGGCAATAATTACAACAAGAACAGATCCTTCATTAGGCGCGGTATTGTTTGAACCTGTCAAATGGCTGACAGCAGTTGACTAAAGTAGAGACGGAGCGAGCACCGCTCGCTGAGGTCCTCGATGGAGAGGACTCAGTCACAGAGAAAGAGGAAGAGAGGATACAGCAAAAAAGGACACCTACTAGTTATCAATTTGCTCGCCGTGCAAATATGGCATCCCTGCTTCTTTTCCGATTTTCGCGGCCGCAGTCGATTAGACTCCTCGGATCTTATCGAGATTTGGCCATTTGCAATAAAAGCATCACAGATCTTACGGCTTCATATCCCAAACAGACGAGATGACATCTCTCGAGTAACCCCAAAGAAAAGGAGAGAGACAAGAAACTGAAGTCAGGGCCACGTCGCCACCTCTTGGAAAAGCCAAGTGGCTACGCCTGACAACAACAGTGGACTCTCTGACTGAGCAGGAATATAACGCTAAGAAGAAAGGAGTATAAAAGAATAGAACGATAACAAAGATTGAACCATTGATAACTCCCTTAGGCTTGAAAAACCTCTTGCTCCATAGATGACACTATAATGTCGAATGACGTGATTCACCGTGAAAACGGTTACCGGTGTGCGTTCACGACATTAATAGTGTGATCTATATAATAAGAATGCGTAATAACTTCGTATAGCACGTCAGCAACGAGTTATATGTATCGCTCCATTCTGAAGCTGCTACATAATTTCTTCAATCGGATAACTGGTGAATGGCTTCTTAGAGACACTAGCTCTGACTATGCAAATGGCTTTTGACCAGCGTTTCAGAGACGTCGTAATCGTCTATGGTTTCTCGACGACCTCGTTGAGCTCGTACCGTGAACCATGTTTCCGTGGGAAAATCTTCTGATGTCGTCGGTGTAGAAGGCCTATGTAATTTTTTGATAGAATAGAATGTGCTCTTCAATATGCAATTGAGCTCATTTGGTTTGGTTTGGCAAAGTGTAATTAATTCTGTTTTGAATGTGAGTAAACTATTTTTTGACCCCCCCTCTGTTTGAAAGTGTCTAATCACCGGGCGAAAAATCCACATTTTCTTCTAAAACGGCTCCGGTTGATGATGGAAAAGGATATCGTCAAATAGGTCGTTTTTCTTACTCTTGAAAGGGGAGTCAACCTTCATATACTCACAAGAGATGACTGAATAACCATGAGGTTCACACCTGAAGGTGGTATTTCCGTTTTTTTTTCTAGATATTTACTAAGTACATTTGGTTTGTTTTATCTTTTGAACACATCCTTTCCTTAGCAACAAAGCTGAGCTTGAGCTGTGCACACCTTTGACTCATTCAAAAATAAGCAAGCAAGTAAACAAAAATTCTTAGGCTTCACTCATCAAAGGAAAATTACACTAACTGTAAGCAGCATTTTGCACCGCCGAATTCTCATAAGCATTTGAGACGGACGGCAAATGTCCTCCAATTTTCCGGCACTCATTTTCCGCATCGGAAAACTCCATCATCTGCGCAGGACTGCCGAAGTAGTAGCTAAGATAAAATGCCTCGATACCTATCATTTTCTTGGACAACTACCCGTGAAATAGTCTCTGACGAGGCGATGATTGTTTATGGTGAAAGTGGGCATTGCATAACTGGAAAGGATGGGAATAGTGGGAAACGAAAGAAAAATTTTAGCGTAAAGGTTTACAATATGGAAAGGATTTCGGACTCAATAAAGACCACCTAGCTCCCATAGGGACATATCACAAGAAGGGCTTAGGAGCACCCTTCGCGG